AATATATAATAAATTAATATAATAAATTGTAATATATAAAATCAAAAGTATAAAATAATATAGTAACATAAAAGTAATAAAATAATATATATTTTTTAATATAAATATATAAAATAAAACAAAATTAATAAAATATAAATATATAATTAATTGAGTTGATGTTTATAACAAAAAATGATTGGCACAATTTTCAAGCAATCAACACCCCTCTACTAAGGGGTACCATTAGCACTCTCCTACTTTATATAATGTTAAAAAAATAATGTAAAATGCTTCTCTTCATCAAATTATATATTAGATACAGATAAAGTGTATGAAAAAGTAACGTATCTGAACTTGATTTTTATTTTAGTAACAGGTTGAAGCATTAACTGGTTATCATGTTGATGTGGCGATGATATGGTATCCAACTCAATATTATTTGCTGACGTGGTTAGTGACATGTAATTTTTTTAATCTAGAATTAGTTTTTTTTAATCTAAAATCTCATTAGCATTTATATATCTAAATAGTGAATATAACATCAGGAAAAGGCAAAACCTAGACGCCAATTGCTATAAGACATGACAATAAAATACCTCATATTAACCATAAAGGTTGTGTCTAATTGGTTCAAACTTGGCTCTAAAGATTAAAATTAGCTGGAGGTCTCAGGTTCAAATTTAAAGAGGAATAAAAATTTCTTTGTGGCCACATAGGTTTATATGTGGTGACTTCAGGCTATCTGCAAAGCAGATGGTTACCCTGGAATTAGTCGGCTCATATAACGAATTAGATATTCAGGTTAATAAAAAAAAGTTATTTTCGTTGTTGGGTCGTCGCCACAGATCCCATCAAAAGGAAGATAAAAGATTTCGAATTTAGATACTCCAAAGTCATTTTTATTGTTAGATCATCACCATCTTGATGATCTTATCTTGCTTTTATTCATTTTTAGAAGAGAAACAGAACCCGAAGTGTGGGACAAACAAATACGAAATACTCATTGGATTATACTTATTTTATTGGGTAATCATGATAAATGATAGAGAAAACTCTTATCCGGTTAGTACTTAGCAGATAAGAGATGCTTACCAATAATCCATTTTGATGACCTAAAATATTACTGATAATGAAGACTCTTACTGATAAGAACTAACCCGGTAAACATTTGGTAACAACCAACCATTAACAAAGTATATTTTAGGAGATGAGTGGTCAAAACCCAAATCAACCAAACCCAACTTAACCCAACGTGAAATAACTCAATCTGAAACAACCTGATGTCTAATTAAGTTGCAAAATTTTCAAACCGTAGGTATTGAGTTACTATAGTCACAGAAAAACCACTTGTTAGAAAATTGATTTAAGATTATTATTCTTCTTGCAATATTGACCCTAACACATAATTAAACATAAATTAGGTAAGAACTTATTTTAATTAATATAAAAAACAATTTTTTATCTATAAAAAACTAGATTTTTGCAAAAGGTCAAACCTAAAATGGTTGCCACTTTTGTCGTTTTTATGTGTTTTTTTGGTTTCCAAATTTTAGGGTTGTTTTATAGTTTTTATTGAATGATTTGGTGGTCAGAATGATATAGTGTAAAACGAAATATAATCGTTTGATAATTGTTTACAATGAAATTAGGGCGTTGAATGGTTAAGAGAGACCCAAGATACAAAACCATTCAGAGGGTTTTAGATACATTAAGAGTCAAACTTTTTTCAGACTTAACGATTCAGAGGTTATCTCTTAATGACACTACTCTTTTAAGGTAGATTTCATGTCTACATACTCGTTCAAATAGAAACCATTTGCATATTCAATCAAAACCGTCAAACCGGTTTTACAAAACTTTCTACCCTTAATTTGGTCGATCTAGCGGGCTCGATAAACCAATTTCCTATAATTCATCCAAACTTACAAGTAGCTTATAGTACGGGTGTTCGTCGATTCACATCTAAAACCTACAATCCCCTTGATCATCCATTAGATTTTGAACGATAACAACTGATCCAATCCAATCCAATCCAATCAACGAGTTTGAAATTTTGCTATTTTGTATCAATTGATTATGCTTAATTAGATCAGATGACTTTATACACACAGACAAACAAACACACAAACATTTTTTCTTATTAGAAAATTGCATATATGGAATATAAAAAATATATTGTAATGGCATTTTAAAAGTAAAGACCAGCCTATTTCCGTGACACCATCTTAAAAATTACATGATGATTTGTTTTGCTGTTAAGGTTCGGTGATAATTTATGGTCCACGGGTCTACTGGTTGGTTGGTCGGTCTTACATGATCTCAAGTCCAAGTAACGAATCATGTAAATTACAATTATACCCTTGTAGAATTTATACGAGAAAGAGATTTAGAGAGGACAAAAAGGTCTACCCAGCCGAGTCCGATGACTCGGAATGGTGAAGTGTCTCAGTCTCCCTTCTTGCTCCGTCATATACCTTTCACATAAAAACACCTTCGAAAACTCATCCTCCACCACCCTATCCACGTCATGCACAAACACCTCCGTCTGCCCCTCCGCCCTATTCCTCCCCATCAGCCCCGCCGTGTAGATCGCCTTCATCCTCCCCGGAGCTCCGTCGTGATACCCCGTCGGAGCATCCACCATTATCAGATCCCAATCCACTTCGTATATCTCCTCCGGCAAGTTCCCTTTCAACGCCAGCTCACACCCAGAAACCCTCGGGTCTCCGATCACCTGACACTCCTCCCTCCGCCCCATCTCCAGAAGATCGCCGGCGCGGGCCACCTTGGTGTCGTACACGACGTGGTACGACTCCAAAGTCGGGAACTTGGACTGGATTTGTTGGATCCATGACTTGTCTTCTTCAAGAAACACAGTCCGGCCGCCGTGGTTGAGGTTGGCCCACATCGGACTGTCGTATCCCAACCCGAAAACCAAGAAATTGCAAGGGGATTTCTTGGTGAGGACTCGGAGGCTGACGGAGATCTCCTTGTAGGTCTGTTGTGGGGTTATGTTGGAAGTGGCGTAGTGGACGAGGGCTTCAGCGATGGCCGGCGAGATCTTGTTGCATGTTTGATCGGAAGCCATTGATGTGTGTTGTTGTGGAGGGCAAGATGATGGGTTGATTCGTAAGTCTGCATCTGAGTGTATTTTGGTAGATTGAGGAGATGGAGATGAAGAAGATGATCTGAGGAAGATTACCAGAAGAAAAAGCAGGAGGAAGAAGGTGATGAGGAGGATGGGTTTGAAGGCAATGGGGTACTTTCCTTTGGTTTTCATGGTTGTAGATAGAGATAGAGATAGGCAGAGATGTATAGATATAGAGAGAGGGTATATGTATATGTGAGTTATTTGAAGGGAGGGAGAGAAGTGGGTGAGACGTGGAGGAAGAGTGAGATATAATAGATCATTTATATAGGGTTTTTCTAACCCCACCCTCTCCTATGGGTGCATGTGAGGGGGTGAGATTGTGTAGGGGGGTGAGTATGTGAGGGTGAGAGTGAGAGAAAGTTGTGAGGGTGAGAGTGAGGGTTGGTGTGAGAGGAGGGGGTGAAAAGTGATGTAGGGGGTGGGGATATCAACCCCCTTTATATATTAGAAGGAAGGACATGACACTAAGTAAAAAGTTTAACAAAGGGTTGGCTTAACGTGAGACTAAAGGTTTTTTATGAGTCCCGTAAGATTAATTTATATTCATTAATCAACTTTATAAGTTAATGATCTAATAGTCTAAAATTGTACGGTGGCAATTTTGTGATTACTGAGAAGTCTTGTGGCAATTTTATGATTAAGAATGTTGAGATTGTAGATCTAATCCAAAGGTTGAGAATTAGTCTTACGGGTCTCATGAAAAAACTTTGGTCTCATATGATCCCAAGTTTATATATATCATGTGAGACCAAATGTTTTTCGTGAGACCCATAAGAACAATTCTCAATCATTGGATTAGATTTACAATCTTAACATTCATAATCACAAAATTGCCACAAGACTTTTCAATAATCACAAAATTGCCATGAGACTTTTCAATAATCACAAAATTGTCATCGTGCAACCTTAGAACATTAGATTATTAACTTACAATGTTGATTAATGAACATAAATTAATCTTACGGGTCTTACAAAAAACCTTTAGTCTCACATAAACCCAACCCTGTATATATATAATAACAATTTGTGTGTATATTATATTTTGCTTGTTTCCCACAAATCATTAATACTTATATAAATTTATGTATGAAATATATATAGTATTCGGTCCGTCTTAAAATAAGAGTCTATGCGTATGTAAATTTAGGAAAGAGATGACATGAGTAATCTCCTAACAGTTATTTAGAATACAATTTTTATTGTACAAATGTAAAATGTTACATAATAACTTGCCCCTCTCTCTCTCTCTCTCTCTCTCTCTATATATATATATATATATATGGGGCTTAATCAAATGAGAACTAAGTTGTTTGTGGTAACTGTAAGAACCAATCTCAACCATATATTAAAAAAATCAACGGTTAAGATTAAAAAGAATCTTAATTATTCTATTTCTATAAATAAATTAGTGTCATTTAATGAAATTATATGAATAAGGGCAACATCGTCATTTTGTACTTTATTTTATTCAGACCGCGCTCAAACCCGTTAATATTCTCGTTCAATTTCGAATCTAAATATGGTGAATATACTTTCCTGTATTTGAGAGAGACGACCGCCTAAGCCCTAGAGTAATCGCAAGAGTAATCGCAAGTGCAAGTCTACATAAACGATGGAGGATGACGAAGGAATAGGTATAATCGGTTTATGTTCTTCATTTTCAATATGAATAATCCAGTAACCCTTGTTTCTGTAATGTGGAATGGTACAGGAAGAAGGAGCGGTCGATTAAAGGCGAAATTGATGTTTAAGTTTTCAAATAAAGAAAGCCAAGCCATTKACCTAGAAACCGATGTTGAAGACCATGTTGATGTTATAGCAATCRAAGAAACAGGTATCATCTCATTACATTCCMTAACACGATTTTAGGTTTAAATCATCAGTTTTAGGGTGTAGTGTTTGTGGTTGTTTGTTTTAAATACTATTGARTGATGAATATTCTGTTTTTTTAGAGAAGAATTTACCATCTTTTGATAATCAATTTATGCTACATTGTGGTACAAATAGTGTTGAACGTAATCTATTTGGCACAATGGTGTGATACATTGTGATAACAATGGTGTGATACATTGTGATAACAATTGAGGTCAGCATGATCGCTACTGAGTTGTTTACCTCCTGTTGTTAAGTCTAGAGCAAAAAAATCTCTTGCGCCTTTTGGATGAGTTCTATACCGTATTTGTGTAGCACATTGAAATTGTTTTGCTGCATTTGTGGTTCTACTTGCTATGTTTCATTTATGTTTACTCCCTGGTCATWATTGGATGTTCTTTAGAATATAAATTGTTGTAGAGCTTATGCTTTCGGTTATACATATGCATATCAGAGCTAGCTTCATGACATATTGAATGATAGTAGAACATCCCATCATTAGAGGATCACAAGCACCCGTRGTCCTGACAATACCATTCACTAGCTCTTGAATATTTGGATCATGTCTCCTTTGAAGGATTCTGCTCACATTTCTACTTCAGAGAAACTAAGATAATATGACAAGAGCGAAGAACTTCTAGTAACTTGCTCATATCTCGTAAAMTTTGTCAAGTGTCAATCTCGGTTTATTCGTAAATGTTTGGAGCCTGGTAATCCTTGTCCATTRCGGTGTTTGCAAGGTTCTTTCAGTTTTGTCAACTGTTTTTATATTGATTCCTCTTTGACTGCTCAAATCAGTTTCTCRKTTTAATCATATTGCACACATTTGGATAAATGAGCCTGTCCATATGTGAAGTGCAGAAATGTTTAGTTCTTTGATGGATAACATGAATTTTAAGTATCACCCGACCTTATTTTCAGTTCTTTTTATAGATTTACCGTTCTCTCTATACTTGGTGATTTTGTGAGGTTTGTAATTGGCTTTGTCGTATTTTTGGGTGGTAGAGTAACAAATTCCTTATTTTTTCAATTGGCATCTAATTAATCATCGACCATGGAGACCTTAAGAACTCCATTTTCAGTGGGTTTGGCTATCTTATATAATGGATTTATCTTTTGCTATTCTTCTAGGTAGTAGACGAAGATTTCATGTACTTATGGGTGGTCAAATTACAACCAATCTGTGACTTCTGTACAAGTGTATAGATACATAAGTTTTCTTGAATATGTAAATAGGTTTAGGACCTGTGWGCTTCATAATATAATAATTGCACATGAGGTAGTACAGAAGTTAGGTGGCAAATTATTTGAATGAAGGATCTTACTTGTGTATGTATTTAGAGTTAGAATATTCCTAGATTGGTGAAGGCCAAGATGGTATTTGGATTTTCTATTAATGCGTTTCTCCATCCTAGAAGGACAGCAATCTATGTTTTAAAGTAAATCCAAATTATATTGCTATAACCCTTTTACAAGTTATTCTACTTCATATTGATGGACTGGATTCCTTTCCAACGAGTCCTATATGATAATTTTTTTGGCAATTGATGGTTATCTATCTTGTTATTTCATTGTAACCTGTCGGAAGTAACCTGATCTCTGTTTAGGAGGAAAATACGATGGAAKAGGTGCATGAAATTACCCATAGAGCATTTCTTATTTCTGTTTATCGTACTCTTTGCGTCCTTACACACTCTCACGTGTATCCGCCTGCTTGCTTGTTTATTTTATTTCCCYAGACCCTACCTCTGTGGAGGAGATCATGGGCTAATATTTTCCATGTTTGGGAAATTTGCAGGTTGGACGGGGAACATGTGGTGTTTGGAAAAGTGATCCAAGGCATGGATACGGTGTATGCAATYGAAGGGGGAGCCGGTACTTACAGCGGAAAACCCAGAAAAAAGGTGKTGATTGCTGATTCGGGTGAAATTCCTAAGGCGGAATGGGATGTGGAATTACAAACCATATTGGCAGCTGCTGAATCATGAGGATGAAAATAGCTATAGATTTTACAAAGATTATTACAAATTTGTTCTTGAGGTTTATATACATTCATCTRTATTCTTGATGCGTCATATGGAGTGTTACATGAGGGAGCTGCCTTACCGCTAGAAATCAGGACTAGATGCGGATATTTCGAATGATATGTTAAGCTGGGTTTTTGTATTTAAGACATAAAYGTCTGGTATTTAGCTTATATGAAATGGATATTTCGAATTTTTTTGTTAAATACATAAATTGTTCTGCGTATATCATATGTTGTCTAATTTCATTAAGTTGTTTAATGGTTGGTATCACATATTGCAATATATGTATGGACTATGTATCATAATTACGAATCATGAAGTGATTACTAAATCTGATATCACACATGTATGTAGTGGGTGAGTATGTATCATATGTATCACATTGTATCACATTGTATCATAGTACCACCTGGTGATATTGATAAGCCCTGTTCTGCTTGATCAATAGCTGTAAACATGAATTCAAACATATACATGGACCATTTATTAATGTACCACAAGTTTGCACAACAATATACCGTCTTTATATACACAGTACCACRAGAAGATACACATATAATTGTAGATATTAAAGATTTCCAGAATCAAAACCATAAGATAAAACCAATACAGAGTAGACAGTAAGAAGTATTCTGAAAACATGAATTCAAACATATACAAAGACCATTTMATAATGTATCACAAGTTTGCACAACAATATACTGTCTTTATATACACAGTACCACAACCATGCCTAAATCATWGATACATACAGAGGCATTACAGGTTCTAATACAACAAAATACATTTAAAATTAATAGACATAAAAAACAGATATTAAAGAACTCAAGAATCACACCAAGAAGATATTAAAGAATTCAATAATCACACCAAGAATATAAGTAAAGTGAACCAGGTGATGATAACTAATTTGGATAACACACTGTGATACAAATCAGGTTGAGTACAAATATGTGTGATTTCATATGATTCATCAGAATCATGAACATGATTACACAAACGAATTATTTTTTTTGAAATTATTTCAATAAATCTTATTAATATTTTATTTTAGGAATGTAAATCAATATTAATTATTTTATTTGAAACGGTTGCATTTTAAAAATTAAAATTTAATTTTAAATTAGGAATTGACTAACATACCCTTTTAATTTTATTTTAATTGTATAATTAATATATTAAAATGATTGGTTGAGATTGGTTCTCACAGTTACCACAAACAACTCAGTTCTCCCTTGAATAGGCCCCATATATATATATCTATATATATAGGGGCTGGTTCAAATACTAACCCAATATTTTGCAAACTATGTTAACCCATCTTAATCGTTCATTTTCTCATCTAACGGTTATTATTAAATGAGATTAAATAAACAACAATTTAATTAATATATTAATTAATATGTGTATGAACAATTGTTCAAAGGATAAATTGGTCAAAATTTTGTATTAATTAATATGTGTATGAACAATC